GCCCTAAGGCTCTTGCTAGCCCGAAGCCTTCTGTTCTTTAAAGACTGAAGTAGGGAAAGGAAAAGGGAGGCAAATTTGGATGGAAGTGGAATATTTTAAAGGAAAAAAGCATTATTTTCCATTTTATAATATCATCCAGCCTCCTCCACACGTCTGGACTTTTCTCCCCTAATTTAATATATGGTTTTGAATAATCAAGAAAAGGAAGAAACATAAATAAGCCAAACTTAGAATGAATATAACCACAGAAAGACAGGATCTCAAAAATTGTCAGACGACTAAGATTTTTGTGATGAAATCTCAATAAAATTAACGATTTCCTAGAAAAAGATAAATGAGCAAAATTGATCCCACGAGGCACAGAAAATTTGGACCAAAAGCAAAACAAAATAACAGGAAAGAAGTTTGGGGAGCAGCACGGTACCCAGCTGCCAGAGGCAGAGAACTTGGGGTCAGACGGCCCGGGGCCACATCCCAGCTCATTCTCTACACAAGCCTCATCCCATATCTAACTTCTCAAAGCCTCAGTTTTCTTATCTGTAAGATAGGAACAATAGTAAGTAATTCTCAGGATTAAATAAGATGAATATAAATGATACCTACTTCTGAGGATGAAATAAGGTGAGGGGGTGTGAAGTAGTTAGTATAGCTTTTGTCACATAGTAATAAGCATGCAGTAAATTATAGCTATTATTTAGAAATTAAAAGCATTATTGGAATTATGTACTCAAAATCTGTGTCCAAATAATTTTACAAATGAATTATTTGAAACTTTTAAGGAACGTGTAATTTTTGTGCTATGTAACCTGATTCAGGCCGCAGAAAAAGATGGAAAACTCTCCAGGCTCATCTCCTTACGAATTCAGAGATAAATATATGATAAAACCAAGAATTTACTCCAGGGATGTCCAGAAATCAGTTATTACCATAATGAAACTTGCACTGAGTGTTTCCCTTGATCCTTTATTCTCTCGCTCCACAAGAATAAACGTCATCACCGTTTCCTCCACGAGGACGCCAAGGCTCAAGAAGTTGAGTGACTTGCCCTGGCCCCTACCTCCAGCTGCGAGAGTCAGATTCCAAACTCAAGACCATCTGACGCAAACGCTTAACTCTCAGTCATCACAGGGAACTGCCTCTGACACAATGTGAACACGACGGCGAGAGATCAAATTTGAGAAGTGATGATCTCAGTAAAATGCCAAGAACATCTGGTGACAAAGAATACTTATTTCTTTTTTTTTAAGTTAACACAGTAAGAACATGAGGATTATTTCTTACTGTAATAAAGGCTATCCCTTCTATATCAACAATCAACATGTACCGAACGGTAAACTGTTTGAGCAGTTATTCGAGAACAAGCATGTCTGCTGGAACCATTTTTAAAAGTTCGTCCTGGAAATTCTAGTTCCTGGAAGTTGGAAGTTCCTCCAACCGCCGGCCTATAATAATCATAAGGGTATTGAATATTCATTAAGCATGTTTTGTGACACTTTCAGTTATGTAACTCATCTAATTCTCACAATCACCCTAAGAGGTAGGTGCTATTCCTCTTTCCATTTTACAAAGGACAAAAATAGGATACACAGAAGCTGAGCACATCGCTGAAGACAAGGGAAAACTTGATGGGGCTTTGTGCCCAGGCGGCTGGTGCCCGTCGCTGAGCCAGTAACTGACACATGAAAGAAGTCAAAGTATCGTTTGGGGCGAGGAGAAGTCAAATTCATCCTTTTTTGCAAAAGATGTGATTTTATACCTAGAAATCCCAAAAGAATCAATTGAAAAACTAGTGAAGTTAATGAGAGTGCTCAGGAAGGTCCTGAGGGCGTGATAACTATTCTAAAATCACTGGCTGTTCTTTCTATTCTATTCTATTCTATTCTATTGGGGGGAGGTGCAACGTCAGCCTTAGCAATCGTCTCAATAGATATCTCTAAAAATAATTTTAATTACCAGAAAGTTATTTTGAAGAAAATAATAAAAATTTACTGAGCAATCTAAAAGATTTAAACTAATAGAAAGACGTGATGTTTCGGATCAGGAAGCTAGAAGACTAAAAAAAAAATCACTTTAAAATTAATTTGTTGATTCGGTAGAATTCCAATCAAAATTACAATGAGAATTTTTTATGACTCAAAATTATTCTAAAATTCATCTGGGAAAAAATAACAATCAAGAAGAGTGGAAACGTTTGAAAAGGAATCGTGGGTGAGTTCCTGACATACTACTTTTTAAGAGTAGTGTAAATTTGAAAAAATATGCCAGTATGTACAATAAATATATCATAAAACTGGTTCACAAAGCAGGAGGAGGAAAGGAGGGGGTTATTTAACAAATGTTGTACACAGGATAATGAATTAGCTACCTATACAGAAAAAAAATAACTTACATCCCGATATGATATAACAAAATAAATTCCAAAAGAATTAAGGATGTAAATATTTTTAAATTGGCACATTAAAATTAGAAGGAACTAGGATTGGATATTCACATATTCAATGATATTTGTTATGTCCCCAGATGAGAGAAAACTTTCTCAGCTTATATGCGATGGAAGAAATCACAAAGCAATTCAAGAAAAATAGATAGATTTGGCTCTAAAAATATTAAAACTTCATATGTTAAAATAAACAAATTAAAGGCAAACAGACAAAAAATAGAACAAGTATGCACAACAGACAATTTTTAAAGATTTTACATTTCTTATACAAAAATTGCTGAGAAAAACCCTAGCACCTCGAAATGATAAATGGGTAAAAGGCGTAGAAGAGATCATTCATAAACAATCCCGAACGGGACCAAAGCTATTATTGCGAGGGGGCTCTACCCACTGCTGATCATAAAAGTGAAAAATGGGAAACAATCTAATTGAAAAACAAAAGTTAAATAAATTAGGGTGAAGGTATAGAATGGAATATTACACCAGACGTTTTAAAGACTGTCACCTGAGCTAATGACTGTTGCCAATCTTCTTTTTTTTCCCACTCTTTCTCCCCAAATCCCCCCAGTACATAGTTGTATATTTTAGTTGTAGGTCCCCCTAGTTGTGGCATGTGGGACGCCGCCTCAGCGTGGCCTGATGAGCGGTGCCATGTCCGTGCCCAGGATCCAAACCAGTGAAACCCTGGGCTGCTGCAGCCGAGCGCGCGAATTTAACCACTCTGCCACGGGGCTGGCCTCAAGCACATATTTTAAGAATATTAAAACAAGCCCAGAGGCTGGCAGCAAGGCCAAGTGGTTGAGTTCACTCGCTCCACTTGTTGGCCAGGGTTTCGCAGGTTGGGATCCTGGGCACAGACATGGCACCGCTCATCAGGCCATGCTGAGGCGGCGTCCCACACGGCACAACCAGAGGCACTCACAACTAGAATATACAACTGTGTACTGGGGGGCTTTGGGGACAAGAAGAAATAAAAAAGAAGAAGATTGGCAACAGATGTTAGCTCAGGTGTCAATCTTTTAAAAAAAACAAGCCCAGAAATTCTGTGACTTAAATTAGCATAATATCAAATTTGTCTACATAAAATATTTATTTACACCTAAATCGTATCTCACCGCGTTAATAGAACATTGAGATAATCAACTAAATGTCTGAATTTCAATCAATCACATTTATCTATTAATTTTGTGGTCTGCGTTCATGGTCCTGTGTGCAATACTCCGATGGACGTGAAGAGAGAATGCCGTCTGGGCTTTCAAGAGCTCTTATTGTCCTTGGAAAATCAAGACACAAATATGTGAAAAATCAAAAAGCAAGAGATGCCACAATGGAGTATGACAAATTGGTGCCAATAATACATAACATTTCAGAGGAAAAAAAGTTCCCCACGAAATAGAAGATTCAGGGAGGCATCCCTGAGAGGGAATTATTTGAAGTCCAGGCAATGGACGGACGCAGAGTGGAGGGAACAGCAAACCAGCGACAGGTGTCTGCCACCCCTGGCTGTAGGGGACTGCGTCTGTGGAATCGATTGTCTTCAACCAAGTTCTATAGAGATTTGACCACGTGGAAATGTGATGAAGAGGGAAAAAGCTGAGGACACTATAAGGCAACCTCACGAGTAAGAGCAGGAAAATGGTGAGGAGCAGGGGCTCAGTGGCTGGGGTGACCGCGTTTAGCGTTTCAGCTCTGGCCTTCCTAGCAGTGATTTGCTTTTTCTCTCCAGGCCTCAGTATTTTATCTGAAAAATGTCGAGGGTACCTGTTTCATGTTTTCAAAGATTTTACTTTTTCTTTTTCTTCCCAAAGCCCCCCAGTACATAGTTGTATATTCTAGTTGTGGGTCCTTCTAGTTGTGGCATGTGGGACGCCGCCTCAGCATGGCCTGATGTGCAGTGCCATGTCTGCACCCAGGATCCAAACCAGCGAAACCCTGGGCCGCCGAAGCAGAGTGCGCAAACTTCACCACTCAGCCACGGGGCTGGCCCCATGTTTCATTTTTTTTAACTCAGAAACGTTGTGTGCGTACTATGTGTCAGCATCAGGCAAAACCTGTTGCATAGATTATTTTATTTAATCCTCAGATCAGCAACCTTATGAGGTAGATACTATTGTCCCTATTTTACCTAAGAGAAAACCAGGCTCCCATGCCCCGTGGAGGGGACAGAATTCAAACCCAGGCTGTTTGGGGCTGGGGCCTTCACCGTGTTGCACACAGCATTTAAAAAGCTTAGCTGACAGCCTGGCATATATCGGTGTTCAACAAGGGGTGATCCCCAGACCAGAACAGAGGATTCAACCCAAAATCAGCTTTCCTGTATAAACGCACCCATTTCCACAGGGGCCTGTAAGGAAACTGGGCTCACTCACGGTTTTCAGGTGGGACATGTAAGCAACCCAAAGTACAGAGCCATATGGTCTTGGGAAGCCCAGGGCCTGTGACTGTCGCTGTGTCCACACACCAGGGGACAGACATGGTCACAATCCCCAGCCGTGAGAGGGGAGGAATGGGATCTGCCAAGGACCACGGGGAAGTGGACAACAGAGGGCCAAGGCGTCACCTTTGTCCTGGGTGTCAGAGAAATCGCCTCTGGATTCCCTTCAGCGCTGGTCACCATGGCAGGGCCCTTGCTCCAGGTGGTTGGGGCACATCTGGAGCATGAAATGAGAACCCAGATCAACATTCCAGCTCGGCAACGTTATAAATGCAGCCCCCCTGGGCATGTCACTGCCTCTTTCTGAGCCTGTTTCCTGGTCTGTGAACTGAGGGGATGGCTAAGTAGATCCGGCTCTGACATTTTGTTGTTCTAGAATTGCATGAGGCCAAAATGGACATAAAGGATGAGACTCAAATTAACCATAAATAGCCGCTTTGAGTTTCAACTAGATAAGCCAAATCTCTAGTAACACGTCTTTAAAGGTGCAGGCATTGCCGGATTTTTAGGGAGAAAACAACTTATCCCAAATTCCTAACTATAGTAATTTTGGGGAAAGTGATTTTACGAGCAATTACTTGAGATGAACGTGACTTGAGGGCAACTTAAGTTCCAGCACTAAATCAGCGAGTACATCGCAGGCTTCAAGCAGGATACCGGATTCATTTTGCTAGTTCCCACAAAGCTCCAGGTGAATCGGAGGGGCCAACTTACTCTGTTTCACAGATTGCCCAACTAAATTTCAGAGAAATTCAGCACCCTCTACAGATTACGCTCAGTTTGTGAGTGCTCTGGTGGCTGAGGCCATGTCTTGTCCGTATTTCACACTCCACAATTCCTGGCACAAGACTCAGGGACAACGTGTGCGGAAAAGCGCTTTGTAACATTCTGTACACATTGCAATTAAATCAATTTGCATATAATAAACACTGTTTAACCTTGGGGGAGCCCCTTAATGTCCCTGAGTCTTAGTTTCCTCCTCTGTTATTTGGAAAGTCAAATGTCTCCCTGGCCGAGTTTGTCAAGAGGGGTAAGTGAGACCGCAGAACCTTCCAGCACCGTTCCTGCCTCCCTGTTGGGTCTCAGGGCAGGCCCGGCTTCATGGGCGTGCCACCTATGCAGCCTAGTGGGGCCCCGTGCTCGGAAGGGCCCCATGCTCGGTTCAGTGCTCTACTGTTGCCATCTTTAAGTTCTTAATAACTTTTTAACAAGGAACCCCAGATTTTCCTTTGCACCGGGCCCCGCCAATTACACAGCCAGTCCTCCTCAAGGCACTGTACTGGGCAAAGGTGCCAAAGCTCACGCAACAAAGTCAACACACAGAGCAAGAAGCAGGGCTGGCCAATCACCAAGTCTTCCTGGCGTGCCCATTCCATACTTCCGAGCTCCCCGGCTGCAGAGATGGTGGAGAGAGACCCGCTCTAAGGACGCTTTTCTGTGCTAAAGTTCTCCAGAAGAGTTTTCTTTCGCTGTTTTCACTTCGGTCAAGTCACTTAACACCTTTGTGCCTCAGTTTCCATAAAGAGAAGCTATTAATAGCACCTACATCTTCAGGGTTGTTGTGAGGATTAAATAAATTAATCTATGTAAAGCTCTGAGGCCAGTTCCTGGCACACAGGAAGCTCTCTGTGAGGGTCAGCTGTTACTCTTCGCTGTGGCCGTTGCTGGCTTTTCCTTGCCAGGATGTTTGCATGGCTTTTCTCTTTGAAGCATGCATTTTCTGACTCTCATTCATAACATTTTTATCTGCCAGGCTGGTCCCTTTCCCTCCACACACACCAGTCCTTGACCACTCAGAACGAATCTTAAAGAAAACGCTTCCGCAGGGAGCTATTCTCTGGGATCTGGTTCCCCGTCGACTTTAAAAGAATTACTTAATAGCTACTGTTGACAGAGCACCGTGCCAGGCACTATAAATTCATTGTCTATAATCCTTATAGCAACACTGTAAGGTGGATGGTTTTATACCCATTTTACAGATGAGGAAATTGAGGCTTACGGTTTAGTAGCATTCTTTGGAGCAGTTCTGCCTGGATCCAAAGCCCACGCACCTTCTAGCCGGAGCCCTGATGGCCACGGCTGCTACTGCAGACAGCTCTCAGGAGCAAAAGACTTAAGTCCACAAAGCTCCAACTGCCAGATCTTAGGCTCAGCGCAAGCCGACTGCATTGAATGCCACACCCTGGTCCCAGCACAAAAACAGAGCATCCCCTCTGAAACCTCTACACATTTATGTCCACAAACAGACACACACTCCTCAAACTGGTTTAAAATCCTACCTACCCAGACGATACTTACCCCTGGGACCTTGAGCAAGGTCTGATCCCAGCTTGTGCTTCAGCGATGTCCTGATGGAAACATCTCCCCCACCACCCCCAGCCCCACCCGGAAACTTCTCAGCTACTGGAGGTCAGTCACAGAGGTTTCATCATTTCCAACAGGGTGGGGCATACTGCTCAGGAGATAATCATCTGGCTCGGTGGAGCAGAGCAGGCTGAAGCACAGATAACCCCTATCTCTGTCAGCACGGCTCTGCCCTGTCCCCAGGCACACAGTTTACTCAGATGGGGAGATTAGTAGTCTCTTTCGCTCCATACGAACACACATTTAAAAACTACGTGCATTTAAGTATGCACACAGCCTGCTGGAGTGGAAAGAGCACTGGAGGAGGAGTTGGGAGGCCTGGGTTCAAGTCCCAGCCCTGGCACTAACTTGCTGCATGACCTGAGACAAATCGCTTTCCCATCAGGGGACTCATGTCCTTCCTCTATAAAATGAAGAAGTAGATATCTAGATATTAGCAAAAGTCCCTTCGGACTCGGCTCGTCACTGAGTCTGCATGCGATGTGGCCGTGGGCTAAGAGAGCATGTGGGGTACGTATGACAACTGACGAGGATAATTTTTCAAGGGTGACTTCTTTGCCGTTAGGCATTGAATGGTGCCAACCTCAGATGGCTGTTGCGTTTGGTGTGATAAATAGCACCAGGAAGGGAAGGACGGGCGATGCAGGCTTTTCAGGGTCTCAGGCTGAACCCCCAACGTCTAAATTTGGGAGTGAAGAATAAGAGGGGGACAAAAGGACCCTGACATAAAACAAAGAAAGCAGAACTTTACAGGACTCTGTGATGTCATTTCCCTGCTCGGGACAAGTTAACCGGTGTAGAATAATGGCTTCTGAGTCAGAGAAATTCAGATTTGAATCCTGCCTCTACTACTTGGTGGCTGGGTGACTTGGGAAAAGTTACTTAGCCTCTTTGATCTTCAGTTTTTTCATCTGTAGAATCAGGTTAATAATAAATACCTAATTTTTAAAAATCTCATAAAGTGTTTAAAGTTAAACAATGTAAATAAATAGACAAAGCACTTAACAGAAGGTCCTTTCCGTGGCAGACAACAAATGGTAACTATTTACATTTATATTCTCTAAATAAGAGTTAGGAAGCTGCCCTTCCGGCTGAGTCCCACGCAGTGTTTCCGACCCGCAAGGTGCCATTAGCTCACTGTGGAAATATGTCTGTGGCTGTCGCTACAGTGTTCTTTCCTTTGCGTAGTGTAATCTAAGGATGTGAAGCCTCATTATCACTCAGGACTCAGGCATGCAGGAGAACGCTGGAAGCTATATTGAGTGACTTCCTAACCGGGCTCTCCACACCCTCCAGGTTTGCCCGGCCGGTGTCAATGTACACTGCTCTCTGCTCCTGACTCTGCCACAGTCTCTCAGGAATTAGCTCCAGCCACAGGTGACCCACAGGAATCACGCCAGGATTCTTGACTCAATACTTTGATTACCCTTTTACACGAACACCCTGCAGACATGGCAGCAGCCAGAGTCCCGCAACGTTTCTACTGCTCTGGTCTTCTGTGTGGACCACTCCTGGATCAGAACCTTCCATGAAGCCACTCCAGGGCTCACAATGTCATGTAGTTGTAAAGGACCTTTGAACATGACATATTTTGGATCCTCCATGTGTTCATTTTAGAGGTCTCCATTTGGGGATTAGGATGGGGCATTTTTATCACGTCAGAGACCATGCACCTTGATTTAATAGTTACGCTTGTGGACACACTCAAACTAGGACAACGTTGCAACAGTGGAAAGTCTGTTTGACTTGGGCCTCAGTGACCTGGAGATCTGAGGCATTTAACTGACCTCTCCGGACTACGTTTTTCTTACATACAATTGTAAGGAGTTTTGCTTAGATCATCTCTAACATCCTTTCTGCTCTGAAATTCCAAGGCTTTGTGTATTATGTGTCATTCATGGCTCTGTGCTAAAGAGCAAAGTGAACATTATTGAGGGTCTATGTCGTATCTTCTTGGCATCTCCAGATGTCAGATCTCTGCCTGCACCTATTAGGTCCTCAGCAAATGTCTGCGGCATGGATAAAGGAGTGCGTGATTAAAGCGTGCTGTTACACGGGCTTGGGGCAGGCACCCGTCGCACACTCCCTCCTCCGTGCAAATACTTGCTGAAGTAGACAAGAGGATCTGCTCACAAAGGACCTGGCCTGCTCTTGCCTGGAGGCCACTGGAAATGGATTCTCACTGGTTCTCCTTGGGGAGGCCCATGTCCAGGGCTCCACCTGCCAACCCCTCATCTTATGGCCCTCCTCTCTCTGCTTTGAGCTGTCAGACTCCAGCCCCAAAGACAGGATTCGAGGGGAGATCAGAACAGCGATAAATGAAGTTATATCGTGTGTACATCAACAGGAAGCTATTTTTGATAGTGTATCACCCGGTGGCAAGGCAGCGGCAGTCGATAACACACTTTCACCTCCCACCCCCGACACACTTTGTAAGACCGCATCCTTTCCAAGCCTTTTTCCCCTTGCACAGCATCTCCAACATCTGTGGGACACAGTGTCTCCCAGAGAACACAGGTACTCTCTGTGGAAGAATTACCTTTCTCTCTCCATTTTTATGGGAGGAGAATGGTGTGTCAACAGGATTAGGGAATTTTTGACAAAGGGAAAAAACCCTGCTCACTATCCGATCACCATAACACATTTTTGGACAATGGTTTCCCTGAACACTTGCTTTCTTTTTTCAAAAATAATTTTCCACATTGTTTTCCACATTATATGAGCTTTTAAAACCCACAATTCTGGTTATGTCACTCTCTGCTTAAAACCTTTCAGTAGCTTCCCACTGCACTTAGGATGAAATCCAGGATCCTGCACAAGGTCTGCAAGACTCCCACTCTCCAGCGGCCGCCCGCCCTTCTGGCTGCATCTCAGGCACTTTTCTTGCTTTTCTTTCTTCCTGCTCTTCCAGGCTCCCTCCTGTCTCAAGGTGTCTGCACTTGTGGGTCCCTCGGTGCCCAAACAGTTTTCATGGTATTTTTAATGGCTGCCTAATATCCCACGTTGCTGGTATAACCCCAAATTCCAAAGCATTCCTCAGGTCAGCAGTCGGTTGTTTTCAAGGTTTTTATTATTGGAGACAACACCATCACGGATAACTTTGTACATATGGATTTTTCTTTTGTCGCTTATTTTAGACTATTTCCTTAGGATTAAGTTCCAGGAGTGGAGATCTAAGTCAAAGGAAAGTGTCTTTATACAGGGCTCCTGCATCACATTGACCTTCTGTTTTCAGAACACGTATTCTATCAGCAATATGTGAGCACATCTATTTCGCCACAAGCTAAATAGCAATGAGTTGCCATTTTTCAGAAATTATATAGTGTTATTTCCAGGGGTATATTGATTTTTTTCAAATCTGTTTATTATTAGTAATCAAATGTTTTACTATTTAATAAGCACCAGCAGCTGGACCAGTTGCCTCATGTACACTAACTCATTAATCCTCACAACAAACTTCCAAGGAAGACGCTGTGGATACTGTTTTCAAACAGGGAAACTGAAAACTGGGAAGGTTAACTTGCCCAAATTCTCAGAGTTGTATTAAATAGCAGAATCAAGATTCAAATTCAGATCTTTGACTGTTATTTCAAAAGCCATTTGCTTTATGCAGCGTTTCTCTGCGTTCCGTGTCTGCTGACTTTTTGTATCAGTGAGCTGCACAGGCACTCACAGGCCATGGCCGAGGCCAGCGCCGCACCCTCGTTCACGTGACATCACACAGGGAGCACCCAGCCCCGCGCCTTCCAGAGTGGGCCATCTACAGACAGGAGATTTTTGCCCCGGCCACCTCCGCCACCCCCGCCCCTTTCCTTTCAGACTGAACTTTTTCTTGATTAAAGGTCTCACTCCATAAACAGAATTTTAACCTCAGTGACAAATGTATTAAAATGCCTGCCTCACAGAATTGTTCAAGATTCAATGAGCCCACATGAAGTACTCTGTTAAGTGTAAAACACTGCACAAAAGTGAGGCTTTATTATCTTTTAAAAATAGCACAGAGGGGCTGCCCGCCGGTGGCACAGTGGTTAAGTTCGCACATTCTGCTGCAGTGGCCAGAGGTTCGCTGGTTCGGAGCCCCAGGGGAGGCGGGCGGGCGGGCGGGGGGGTGGGGGTCGGGGGGGCGGCTTGGCAAGCCATGCTGTGGCAGGCGTCCCACATATAAAGTAGAGGAAGATGGGCACATATCTTAGCTCAGGGTCAGTCTTCCTCAGCAAAAAAGAAGAAGATTGCCAGCAGATGTTAGCTCAGGGCTAATCTTCCTCAAAAAAAACATAGCATAGAGGGAATTGGAGAGTGACTGCTAAAGAGTGCAGGGCATCTTCTGGGGTGAGGAAATTTTCTAAAACGGATTATGGTGATGGTTGCACACCTCTGTGAATATACCAAAAACCATGGGACTGTACATTTGTAATGAGTGAATTGTATGGTATGTGAATTCTATCCCAATAAAGCTGATAATCAAAGAGAATCATATAAAATATCGAGAGCTTTGCTACTATGGCCACTATGCTATTCCCTCCAAATGCTGCTGCCATTCATTCATTCATTCACTCACTCTGCAGATATTTCTTGATAACCTGCTATGCACCTGGCCCTGTGCTGAGCACTTGCAATACAGAAGTGAAGGAGATGGACGTGGTCCCTATCCTCACGCAACTGGCACCATGTGCTTCAGACGAGGATTTACCCTGAGGTGTGATGAATGTTATGGAGTGTTAAAGGGAGCCAGAGAACACACAGCAGAGGGCTCCCTCACACAGTCTCTGTCAGAGACGGCCTCAGCTCTGACTTGGGGAGTCAGGCGAGGCTACAGGCAGAGGAAAGAGCATGAGTGAAGGCTCAGTGGGAGAGAAAGAGCGCAGTGCATTTGAAAATTGAGAGCCAACCACCATGAAGGGAGGCCGGGGTGGGAATGAGAGTGATGAGGCTGCAGGTGGCGGGGTAGGGGTGGGATACACAGGGCCTTGTAGGTTGGGTTGACAAGTCTGGATTTCTGCAATGGACAACTGAAACCCATTGAAGGTGGGTTCATGG